ATCTTAAAATGTTTTACGATAACTAGTTCCAGGTATATTCTATAAAGTTCAAAGTTGTATCTTCTTCTCCACTGCCATTAAGTGCTCCATAGATTCGCCTTAGTACTTTTCTTTCTAAACATCATAACATATTTTTATTTTTTTTTTATTAGAGTCCAGATCTCTGATCTATATGTTAGGACTAGGCGTATTATTGTTTTGTAGAGTTTTATTTTTGTATTTCTCGATATAACTGTGGATTTAAGGAGACAATTGAGCCCAAAATAACATCTGTTGTGCAATAATGCAATAGAATGCAAATTCTTACATTCATCGTCAAACCAATGTTTTTCACGGGCATAAATTTCTATAAATTGAAAAAGACTGTAAGACTTGTACACACTTCTAAATAGGTCTAACTGGTAAGCAGCTTTTGTATGTTTTCAATAAAATTTCAATTTATTAATTAAGCTAAGTATACTTTCGACATAATAAATGTCATCATCAGAGCTATCGTCAATTAGGCAATAAATACTTCATATAAGGAAAATTGTGGACAAACGACATATTAAAAAACAAAGATCGGGCTCTGTAGGCCACAGATCTTGGGTCTAACCCTTATACATATGTATAATTCACATCAAAAATTTTTTATAAAACATGGTTACCACATACAGTAACGACAACAGCTGTTTTTGACTTACATTTTTGAAGTAAAATAATTTAATAAATTTCTATTCCTATTTCATCTTTCGCTGCTGCTGCAACGTCTTCCTCTATTCTGATTTAGTAGAAATCTATATGTGTCTGTCATTTCTGAGACATCTTCTGTAAGCTTGCTCTAGGTCTTCGAAAAACTGTTCTCTTATTTAGTCTGGTTTGTCATCAATAAGGCACCTGGACCAGACGAAATCCCGTCAGTAATACTCAAATTACTGGATGAAAGGGGAATTTCAGCACTACACAAAATATTTAACTTAATTTATGAAACTGGCTGCTATCTTCAACAGTGGTTACGCTCTACCTTTATTCACCTGCCCAAGAAAGTCAATGCAAAAAGATGTGAGGATCACAGACTCATTAGCGCCTGATGAGTCACACTTTAAAGATATTTTTAAAATTACTACATCAAAGATTATACAAAAAATGTGAATGGGACATCAGTGACTCCCAGTTCGGGTTTAGGCAAGGTTTAGGAACACGAGAAGCAATAGTTCCAACACAGGTGCTGGTCCAAAATTGTTACGATCAGAAGAAGGATGTGTTCCTATGCTTTTTGGATTACCAAAAAGCGTTTGATCGTGTCCAACACCACAAGTTAATGCAGATCCTCAAGAAAGTTGATATAGACCAAAAAGACATAAGATGCATTGAAAACTTGTACTGGCATCAAACGGCACAGTTAAAAATAGACAATTCTATATCCAAACATTTCTACAACCTACATTTATTCGGAAGTCATATTTCAAGAGTCTTTGGAGGATGCAAAGATGGGAATCAAAGTGAATGGAGTATTGATCAACAACATACGATATGCTGATGATGGTGTCTTAATTTGTGACAACATAGTCGATAACATAGTAGTAACAACTTGTCACTATAATCGGAAAATACAGTAAGGGGATGGGATTAGAGATTAATACCAAAAAAACCAAATTTATGATCATGTCCAGAAACTTGGATGCACTTGAAAACTCCAGCATAACACTGAATACTAAGTCCATTGAAAGACTGAGTAAATTTAAATACCTGGGATCGTGGCTTTTTGAAGACTGGGCATCGGACAGGGAAGTAAAATGTCGCATTGAGCAAGCTCGACAAGCTTTCGTAAAATTCAAGAAGGTACTGACTTGTTCAGAGTTCGATCTTCAACTGAGACTAAGATTTACTAAGTGCTACGTGTGGTCAGTGCTGCTATATGGTGTAGAGGGCTGGACACTCAAAAACGAGGGATATAAACAGATTAGAAGCTTTCGAAATGTGGCTCTATCGCCGTATCCTAAAAATACCATGGACAGCTAAAATCACAAATATAGATGTCCTTAAAAGAATAAACCAAGAACGCCAACTTTTCGAAACCATCAAGAAAAGGAAAACGGCGTATCTAGGTCACATCATGCGAAATGAAAACCTCCAACTTATAATCGAGGGTAAAATTGAAGGCAAGAGAGGAATGGGACGCTAGAAAATGTCCTGGATCCGAAACATAAGGCAATGGACAGGGATTAACGACATACAATCTCTGATACATATTGCAAGAAATAGAGAATTAATGGAAACTGTGATCGCTAACATCCATTAGTGGATTTGCATCTGAAGAAGAAGAAGTCATCAGTTGGGCATGGATGAATGTGCATTGACCAAACAGTAATAAAGAATTTTCCTTTTAAGCGCAAAAAGCACATTCTTTGACTGCAAGATTTAAAGTAAATAATTAGACCTTTTGTTCTTTGGTTTACAATAAATCCCCCCATCCATGTGTTGGCTTTCATTGCAGCTATATTATATGGAATGAGTTCTCTTGTCAAGAGTGCCAGTTCCTGTCCACCGCATTTCCTGCAATGCTAAAACATTTACTTTGTACGTGTACTTCTTAAGTTTAACAACCTAAAATCTGTTTTTCTTTTTGTATTTTATTGGAAAAAATGGAATATTTTCTATATTACTTATATATTATATTATATAATAATAGAAATAATATTTTACGCTCTTCTAAATATGTTAATTTTTTTCAATTAGTTGAATAAAAATATATTTTTTTACAAAACTCCATTGTTAAATAATTGTTGTTATTAAATAATTCCACTATTTAGGAATTAATGAAAACATCATTTAAACTTGTTCAAACTGCAGGGCGTAAGCTATAAGTTCATTATACTAATTCGTCTCGCCTCTATTGTTTGCTTTTTTATGGGAAAAAAGTTCATTATACCTTAGTAATTTCTATGACATCACGAAGTTAATATCGGTAATTAAAATTATTTAATCCTTTCCGCAATGTATTATAGACTAGTCAAAAGGGAACGGAAATTTTCCTTTAAATCTTAATTTTTTAGAAACATATAGTAGTCTTTCTTTATATCGATTCCCTATATAACGATATTTCCTCTATAACAATGAAAATAGTAAACGTTGGTTGGTTCGTCATAAGGACAATGTATTAATTCTTTCTCTATACCGATATAGTTCTCTCTTTATAGTGATGACTTTTCAGCGTTCAATAGTTGATGAAATATGTGTTATTGTGTTTAAAGTTCAGATTATCTGAGTCACGAGTGACATTGTCCAGCGGTTGTTTTGTTTTTCGCTTAAGGAATGCGGCAACCCATTCTACTCATTCTTATCAGAGGGCTTAGTGACTCGTTTTTATTGTTCAGGAGGCGTGCCTAACTATTATCACACGGATGTTGTCATCTACTGACGACTTTTCATTTTCAGTTTGAGTTGTGCCTCAGTGTGTCAATAGTCAACATGTTTTCGACTATTGACACTTTTCCGGTGGAGGAAAAGTTTTCGATAACTCGAGCAATAGATAAAGGTGAAAAGCAATCGGATGCCGTTCGCCGTACGGGGTTGTCTCAATCAAATGTGGCTACGATATGGCAGGACAGAAAAAAGAGAAAAAAGTGGCTTGAAGCGGAGATGGAGGGCGGTAGCCGGAAGAAGTTGCGGAAACCTAAGTACGAAGATTTAGATCTCGCCATGCTTCAGTGGTTTCAGCAGCATCTTATGAACCATATTCCACTTTCTGGACCTGTGGTTAAGACAAAAGCTGAGTTTTTTGCACCTGAGCTTGGAATTGAGAATTTCAAGGCATCTGAGGGTTGGCTGAGCAAGTGGAAGCTGCGGCACAAGATTAACTACGGGCAAATCAGCAGAGAGGCTAGCGATGTTAACAAAAACGTAATGGATCATTGGCTAGAAAACGTGTGGCCTGGACTGAAGGCACGATGTGCTTCAGATGACATTTTCAATGCTTATGAGACTGGCTTGTATTTTTGTTTTTTAAAATGACACCAAACAGAACTTTAAAATTTAAATCGGAAAAGTGCGTTGGTGGAATGCTCTCTAAGGAACGCATTACGGTTTTGGTGACCGCTAACATGACAGGTTCGGTAAAGCAAAAATTGTTAGTGATAGGAAAGTCGAAAAAACTTTGTTTTCTACCAGCAAATACAAAGAGTGTCCTTCAGCCCAAGGACCAAAGTGTCATCTAGAGTTTGAAAAGCCATTACAGGAGAAGACTTTTGATGCAGCAGGTATTGGATGCGGCAAAAGTACTGCATCGATTCTTCATTCACCAGGAAGACGATATGAGTGCTATGGAAGATTCTATGCGTCTTCAGGACAAGGTCAGATCAGTTCTGTGAAAAGGGAAAAGGAAACAGACCAAGGTGACATACTTTTTTGGTATTGTAGGCTAAATATATTTGACAGTAGCATATTATTTTGTTATTGTACAATACATATGTTTTAATTTTACAACCATATTTTTATACTGTATTGCTTATATTATTCTTTAATAAATCTATATGGTGTATAATAAAGTGTTAATTCATTTATAATTCGTTTTGATAATTTTTTTAAATTAAAATAAGTTATTTAGTACAGTATTAATAATATTAGAGTACCGAATTTTGTCTCTCTCTGTATAACGATCTCCCGTTATAACGATGAAATTTCCCGGTCCCTTGCATATCGTTATAGAGGGAGAGGACTTTATGTACAATAGGTGCGTTTTATAATGGTTTTTATTTTTTTACATGACAGTTTTTTAAATGACACCGCTATATCGTCAGAGAACTGCTGGTAAATACAAAAAAACTATTTTGTGGTTAAACTATGTCCAAAAAAAAAGAAAAAAGAAGAAAAAACTGTATAATGGGTGGTTAGAAAGTAAGTACTCATCTTCAAAACTATAAGGTTACCACAAGATCACAGATCAGGTAAAATGAAGATACAATGGCTACATATAGAGCAAAGAAAGCAAAAGATTACTAAATGATAGATATCGCTGGAAAATGCAGATTGTAAAAGTAGGGAATAAGTTACTAATAGGTTTGTTTGTGTAATCATTGTGGAAGAAGGACAAATGCCAAATAATTATGCAGAATTAGTATATATGTTCTTCATATCATTTTCTTTACCAAACAATGATTTTTTGGATATGTCATGACCAAATCAAAATACAGAAATTTCAAACGAGCTCTCTCTACTAAGACTAAAGAACCCGAAATGGGAAATGAAACATTAAATTTAGACAGTGCAGCATTTCAAGCATAATCTGTAACCAGTAAAAAAACTAATAAATCAGTAATACAGGAAGATATAAAAGATAATGTCGATCATTCTATTGGAGTTCAAAATAGTGTTGTAACTACAAAACAGTCTATTAAATTAGTATATATGTTAAAAAAGGAAAAGATTATCTTGCTAATATGAGGTTACTGTGAGATACTAAAATTGTTATCCAAATCTCTTTATATAGCGACAACCATTCTCTTTTAGATCTTTCACTTCGTTTCTTTCCCTTTAGACTTTGTTTTGGTATGTTTTTGTACCCAAATTTTTTTATTTGGGACTTATCGTACATTTCCATTATTACTTTGTTGCATGCGCTTATCCCCATATCATGTATTATTTTTCTTTATAATTTATGCTGTCTATATTCTTCTATTCTTTACTTTTGTAGATAATATTCCTAATTTTAGCATTTTTGTAAGTGTTTCTGTACTTCAACTTTCTTAGTTTATTCCATCGTAAATTTCTCTGTGTCTGTGATTTTGAAATTTAAATAAGTTTCCATCTGTACACACTCAGTTGCTGTTAAATCGTTGTAAGAGGCCTCTTTGCTGCTATGTATTACCATTTATTTTGTTTTCTTCTGTTTTTTTTTAGTCTTTTGTTTATTCCGCATTTTCGAATTTCCTATTCATGTACTTCAATTCATTTTTGCTCTCAATATCAGAACCAAGACTTCGGCATAGGCTACACATGGTTGTTTTCAATTAGATATGATTTCTTATCTACGCATATTTACTCTATCTTAAAATCATTTTCCACCACAATATTAAGAATATTTATAGATAGGGAATATCCTTGTCCCATTCCTCTGGTTATTCCAAAAGCTTGTGAGTTTTTTCTCTTTATCTATACCTATCTTATTTTCGGTATTTTCCAGCATTGGTGAAATTCCATTCCACTCAATATAAATTTTCAACCATGCCGATATTGTAATTTTTAGAAGGAATAAAGGAAGATATTTAAAGGTACTTCTTGGGGTAAGAGCCCTCCTCTACCTGCCTACATAATTTGGATATTATCACAGTCATTTCAGAAAAAGCTATTACAAAAGTCGGTCGCAAAATCTCGTAAGCTATACAGTTATAGTTTTCATAGAAACAGTTCATCTATTCAAACCAGCAGTGTTGCCAGTATTTCGCTTTAAACATAGAAACGACATTCCGCTAAGCAATTCTACTTGCAATTATATATAATAGTGAAAATAGCGTTAGTGAGAAGTGTAGTGAAGTATTAAATATCACTGTGTTTTCGAACGGCTATTACAAATTTATATTTAATCTTAGCATTAAATATAAGTTAGTGCTTAATCTGTTTTTCATTCCAGCCCGTGGCTGGTGGTCCTTCGTCCTTCAATTATTTCTTCTTCTTACTTTATCACTCCATCTTTTGCGTGGTCGCCCGATACTTCTTCTACCTTTTGGTGATTTGTCCCTCGCTATTCTGACTAATCGGGTCTCTTCCATTCTGTTTATGTGTTCGTTCCATTCCTTTTTTCTGTTCAGTGTCCACTCATTTATTTCTGGTATATTGCATTTTCTTCTGATCTCTTCACTCCTCATTCGATCCCTCAGTGTGTTTCCTGTAATTCTCCTCAGTAAACGCATCTCCGCTGTTTCTAGTAGTTGCTGAGTTTTGGAGGTATCCGGTCTTGTCTCTGAAGTGTATGTCATTATTGGTCTTATATGCTGCAATTATTTAAATAAGTTAATGTTCAACCAAGCATTATCTTTGACTCATTACTTAGATGCTTCATTCCTTTGCAAATGTCGTTTTAATTTGATCAATCATAAACTTAATGTTTGCTTAAATGTGAATATCTAATTCATAACGGGTTGTTCTCTTCTTAAATCTACTAATTAATCGCCCTTTATAAAGGTCTAACCTTTTACTTTGTAATAGATTCCGAACACTTTTTAGACATTTCTTCTTTTTCAAAGATTTTTAGTATAAGATTTTATAATAGTTCTTCCTATTGTTAGTCACCTTCTTTGATAAATTTATCCAGTAGTCCATTACCTGCTAAACTTTTATTGTTCATAAATTTTTTTTATTCTCTCTTTCAGTGCCTGTTTTGCTGGTATCTCTTCATTCCCTTCAAGGATTTTTAAGTTAGTTTAAACAATTGAATGCACTTTTCATAAAATTATACCGCTATTTACTGGACTAATGTAAATACTTTATGAGAACATTACAGAATTTAGCATTCTTTTAAATATTGACAGATTTATGTGAGACCGAAATTATTTAATTAGGCCTTAAAAAGGTGTATCGTAAATGCTCAACTCTTTCTTTTTTCTTTTCAGAGGTCGTTTACACTGATTCTTCAGGCTGTGGATCATAACAATTTTTCATCACCCGGTGAGTACAAATATTTGTTTAATTATGCTTAGTTATGCGCGTGTAACCACTCGGAAACTAAAAAAAAAACAAGTTAAACTATACAGTAAATGTTAAAAATAATGTCTGTTTTAAGATTACTGTTAATTTTATACATTAACGATGAGGAGGTTTACTTACACCTTCTTTTATTTATAAATAGACAATAACTGATTATGAATATAGGAAGGTGACTTAAGAATATTTTTTAGATTTAAATTTAATGGATTTTTAATGGAACTCATTTTTTTGTTGATTGCACTGACATGCAGCGATGCTAGGTGTTATTTATTGTTCTTTTTCAACCCATAATCAGCCAGACCTGGATATAGGTCTCACTGCTAAATAAATTTCTTTACTAATATCTGTCATATACTTTTGTGAGTCAGGTTCTCAACTGCACCCTTCGATTCTGATTTTGTTTCGCAGTGAAATTCTTAGTTGTTCGTTCCATGACTCTCTGAGATTCTAAGTCTTATCGCCTAGTATTTAGTAAGAAACCGAGTCTCCAATCATTTGTACAAACCAGCAAAATACATGTATGCGTTCAATATTACTAGATTTCATAGTTTTATGCTATGTGCTAAATAGGCACATTCGTAGACGTTTTTTATTGGTTTTCGACGTTTTTTACTGATTATTTTGGTTTTGCTGTAATTTATTTTAACCTACAGTTACTGCCAATTGATTTAACTGTTGAAGCGTTTCATTTAATTCATTAGTGTTACAGGCTGTTCAAACAATTCTGTTAGTGAATTTGTGATGGTTTAGGTAATAGCCATCCATGCATATCTGATATTAAATGTCTTTATTAACCCATTTTAATTATTTAAAGACGTGTTTTAGGACTCGATTGAGTATACAATACAGTACGGACGCGTTAATTCGAACCCAAGGACGTTCGAATAACGCGATAGTCCTAACGTGCTCCCCCTGCCTCCCCCATCATTATATTGACATGACTCTCGACTGACTATCGAACAAAAGACCAAAATTCCCAAGTTATTACAGCAAGGAACTAGCTACAATTTAATTTCAAAACAGTTCGGTATTGGCAAATCTACCATTATGGACATTAAAATGAACAAAGAAAATATCGAAAAGTTCTTCATCGAATTGGAGAGCGGTCCTGGGAAAAGGAAAATCATCAAACCCCCCGGAACATCCGAAGGTAGAAAGTACGTTGTTCATTCAAATCTGTTGATCTTCCCGTATGGTATCAAGAGCAAAAAAGTGTATGGGTGGTAGGACATTTGTTCTTGGATTGGTTCAAAACTGAATTCGTTCTTGATGTTCGTCTTCGAACATAAGGCTCATAAGGCAGTGTTGCTGCTGAACAACTGCCCTGGTCATCCATCTGCTGATGAACTTCGTAGTGAAGATGGTAAAGTTTTTGCCATGTTATTACCACTTAACACGACAGCTATGATTCAATCAATGGACCAGATCACAAAACTGCGCTATCGAAAAGCTTAACTGTCCAACATTCTTGCTGGCGAGCAAAGTGGAACGAATCTGGTAGTAGCTTTGAAGAAAGTTATTCTCAAGGACGTCTTTTTCAATTTGGCAAATTGTTGGTCCTCCATTTTACAACGTTTGATGAACTTTCTTGGAAAAACTTGAGCCCAAACTTAGTGGCAGTTGACGATTCTTTGTCCAATGAAAAAGACATCATTTTAACCCCCTTCGGCGCTCGGCTGGCTTAAAACAACACGACAATAATTACTGAATCTGAGGTTCAAGAATGGGCATATGGTGGCTGTGACAAAGAAATTGGCACCCAAGAAAGGCTCACGGATGAAGAAATTGTAAGGGTCATTCAAAATAAAGAAACGTAAGAGGAGGATGTCGATGATGAACCAGCTGCTTTAAAAACTTAAAAGCTGTTGAAGCTATTAAAAGTCTTGAACATGGCCACCAATATTTTATTAATATACATAAAGCATTTTTAGTCATTTTCATTGTGTTTTGTAGTTTTTCTTCTCCCAAAAAAAAAGTCATGGATTCATTTTCCCGATTCCGTTCGGATTATTGCGACCGTAATGTAGTGGGGAATATAAAGTATCGTTGTACATAAACGCTATGTTAGTCATTATTAAAAAAAAGAAAAAAAACAACGAAAAAAAATGGATAATCGGTTTAAATAGTACTAAATAAATAAATATATCGATTTTATTACAATTATAAAATTGATTTCATTTAATTGTACCTCATACCTTTCCCAACATATTTTATATTTTCAACCCACCTATCTCACTCGAAAAATCTAAATTCACATAACTTTCTACCACAATCATTGCCTAATTACGCCTAACGATATGTCATCGCCGACATATCTGCTTTCATCAATTCTGTACTACAATAAACCTGACATTTAA